CAGGATGCTGGTGAAGATTCTCAGGCCCTGTCCACACGAAGTCAAAACGAACACGAAACGCTAATATTTTCCAGAACGTTTGTCGTAAAGACGGAGACGTAAAATAAATGTGATCATCCACACGAATGCATGAAAACGCTGCAAAATGTATGCCAGGCCTGTAAGTGGCGCTGTCGTGCCAAAGCAAAAATAGGCGACGAAATGTTGGGCATGCGGACTAATATTTATACATGTTTGCCCTGCGGGTCCATTTTCGTGGTTCAGTCAAATTCAGGTGCTGAACTATGTCGTCGATATTGCTCTGTTCTTCCTGGAGATATTCCAGAAGAAGATTCTGTTGTAAGCCCGACAGCAGGGTGAGTAGCATGAGCAGCAACCATTCAACACAGTACGGCGCCATTGTTGTTGTGATACTGTGTCGCGCATGCGTGTTTAGAGGCGACGCTATGACGCATGCGTGTAAAAAAAAAATGCGGTTAGAGCTTAAAGATGGAAACGCGAAAACGGCGTTTCAGAATCTTCCCACTCTGAAGGCTGAATAAAAAAAGATCATTTACAAACCCCCGAAACGCCGGCTTCGTGTGGATGAGAGGCTGGTTTGGTGAAAAATTTGTGCGTTTAGGCCAGGGTTCGGCTTCGTGTGGACGGGGCCTCAGTCATCCAGGTCGTAGTCATTCCAAAAAAAGTAAAAAAAAAACAATCCAGTGGACTTTGTTTCCAAGTTTGAAGACGTTTCTCTTCTCATCCAGGAAGCTTTTTCAATTCAAAATGTGAGAAATAGCGTTGAATTTGAGGCTTTATAGAGTCAACCAACAAAGCCTTGTTTTTGTTTAGAAATCATGCAAATTGGAACGGACGGACAGGTCCACCACTTTGGAATGGGGGTCCTTTGGCTTCTTTGTTAGCCTGCAATGCCCTGTACCTGTCTATGTCTCTGAAAGGCGGTTGCCTCAAACTCAACGCTATTTGCTTCGAACTCAACGCTATTTGCTTCGAACTCAACGCTATTTCTGACGTTTTGAATTGATTGATCTGAAAAAGCTTCCTGGATGGGAAGCGAAAAGTCTTCAAACTTGGAGGTGGATTTTTTTTTACCCTTTTTCGAATAGCTTTAGGATCAATAGGGTTATGACAGATACAGTAAAGTCTGCCAAAATTCTATTGGAGTCCTTCATAGGAAATCTCTAGATTCTCTAGCCCCGCCACACTCACATGGAGTGGAGTCATTCAGCCAAAGCTTAGATTTACATTTGATTAATTTAGACTTTTAGACTTTGTTTTCAAGTTTGAAGACGTTTCTCTTCCCATCCAGGAAGCTTTTTCAATTCAAAATGTCAGAAATAGCGTTGAAATTGAGGCTTTATAGAGTCAACCAACAAACAGGTCCACCCCTTTGGAATAAGGGGTCCTTTGGCTTCTTTGTTAGCCTGCAATACCCCGTACCTGTCTATGTCTCTGAAAGGGGGTTGCCTCGAACTCAACGCTATTTGCTTCGAACTCAACGCTATTTCTGACGTTTTGAATTGATTGATTTTAAAAAAGCTTCCTGGATGGGAAGCGAAAAGTCTTCAAACTTGGAGGTGGATTGTTTTTTACCCTTTTTCGAATAGCTTTAGGATCAATAGGGTTATGACAGATACAGTAAAGTCTGCCAAAATTCTATTGGAGTCCTTCGTAGGAAATCTCTAGATTCTCTAGCCCCGCCACACTCACATGGAGTGGAGTCATTCAGCCAAAGCTTAGATTTACATTTGATTAATTTAGACTTTTAGACTTTGTTTTCAAGTTTGAAGACGTTTCTCTTCCCATCCAGGAAGCTTTTTCAATTCAAAATGTCAGAAATAGCGTTGAAATTGAGGCTTTATAGAGTCAACCAACAAAGGGGTCCACCCCTTTGGAATGGGGGTCCTTTGGCTTCTTTGTTAGCCTGCAATGCCCCGTACCTGTCTATGTCTCTGAAAGGCGGTTGCCTCGAACTCAACGCTATTTGCTTCGAACTCAACGCTATTTCTGACGTTTTGAATTGATTGATTTTGAAAAAGCCACCTGGATGGGAAGGGAAAAGTCTTCAAACTTGGAGGTGGATTGTTTTTTTTACCCTTTTTGGAATAGCTTTAGGATCAATAGGGTTATGACAGATACAGTAAAGTCTGCAAAATTCTATTGGAGTCCTTCATAGGAAATCTCTATTCTTTAGCACCACCACACTCACATGGAGTGGAGTCATTCAGCCAAAGCTTAGATTTACATTTGATTAATTTAGGCTTAACAGGAGTTAAGTTATCAATAATTCTGCTTTAAAAATTCTAAGATGAGGAACATAAAAATATTAGATATTAACTGACAATTAGATCAAATTCTGCTCTGCAGAGCGACAAACTCCAGCCTGTAACCTTGATAAAATGAGGTCATAAGCTCTGGCTAATAAAGAGAATTATTCTTTTAACCAGACTTGTGTAGCTCAGAGATTTAACACAAAAAAATGTGGCATAAATATTTCATCAAAGCAAACTTACATGCTATGTTTGATAAATGAACTCCTTAAGCTAATTTATGGTGAAGGAACTTAAAAAGAGAGCTTAAAACATGCTCTTTAATAAGATTGAGCAAATAGGAACTTGAATTTTCCTCTAAGTGAATGTCATCTTTACCACAAGAAGATTTCTGTAAAAAAAAATATAAAATAGAGAAAATAACATATATCATGTGAGCTGCTTGAAATGATAAACAAACAAGCTCCTGTCTGCTGATGGACATCAGTGTTAGAGCTTCTTTCCATCCTCCCTCTTTATTCCAGCTCATTAGATGGAGTAAAGGTAGGCGGCAGTTTGCTGGGAGGAAATGGAGATCAGCTGACAAGAAGACAAAGTGAATGCAAAGGAACGGTGATAAAACAAACTGTTTGATTATAACCAATAAAACTCATGAATTCTATTAATATATCTTAATAAAAACTAAACAGCTTTTAAAAAAATTTACTAAATTCAAAGGCTTTTGAACACGTATTGTTTTATTAATAAATAGATGCATTTAAATGTTATTTTATACCGAGTTCTTACAGCAGGTAATGCATTTTAATGATCATCCATCATATTTGTATTCCTTATATCCTGGCAACAAACCAAAAGTATTTTTTCACTTCAAGTCCTCTGGTTTGTCATTAACGTAATAAACAAAAAGTATAAATAGTTTCTGATTAATGAATAAATTAGAAAATATGAAAGAAAGTTCCTCATGCCATAAGTAAGAGATGTGTATCTTTAGGTTCCCCTCTAAAGGCTCTATGATGGATATTTTCCGATACCTATTAAATTTCAAAAGTGTTAAGAAAGATGCAAAGACTGCAGCTGGAGTTCAGTTACAGAACTGAAAAATTGCATCATACGTGGTAAATATTTACATTGCATACATACATTATCTGCATATTGGTAAAGGCAGAAAAGGTTTGCATCCGCTCCCAGGTGAATTGTATCCTCAGATCATTTTGCACCTTCTTTAAAGTTCTGCTAGTTTGCATGGGTTTTAAGACGCACGACCCTTTTGTAAATCTGGCCCTTTGACTTCAAAGGTTGGAACTTTCCCCCATCCTAATGGTCCTTTCACAGATTCAAGTAAAGATGCTGCTGAGTTATTTCAATCAATCAATCAATCAATCAATCAATCAATCCATCCATCCATCCATCCATCCATCCATCCATCCATCCATCCATCCATCCATCCATCCATCCATCCATCTTCTCCCACTTAAGCCGTGCATACACTGTGCGATATTTTCAATCGTTACACACACTGTACGACGAAACCACAGGGTTTAAAGGTCACAGCTCTCATGTTCTCTCACTGTGCAACCTGATTTGCTGATGCGACGACCGACTGAATTTCAAACATAATTTTCTCCTCACCTTACGATTCCTAATTGGGAGGTGGTCGTGAGAGGCTGATCGCCCCTCGTTACCCCCTGTACATGACACGATGCACGATCAGGCTGACAGTGGTGTTGGATGCAGCAGTTTGCCCTGAAATCGAAGGATTGACGGTTCAGCTCCGACTTTCATTGTCGTTGTGACCTTGGGCAAGACACTTCACCTGCACTGTCTACTGATGGTGGTCAGAGGGCCCGATGGCGCCAATGTACGGCAGCCCCGCTTCTGTCAGTGAGCCCCAGGGCAACTGTGGCTACAATGTAGCTTGCCACCATCAGTGTGTGAGTGTGTGCGTGAATGGGTGAATGAATGTAGTGTAAAGCGCTTTGGTTAAGTCTCCTGACTTGGATAAAGGGGCTATATAAGTACAGGCCATTTATCATTTAGCATTTGAAAGTCGGCCCGATCAAAAAATTCTTGCACAAATGGAAAATCGGCTTGAAAAGAGCAAAAAATTCATACAGTATATACCCGGCTTAGGTACGGTGGAGCTGGTGCCTATCTCCAACAGTCTATGGGAGAGAGGCAGAGTCCATTACAAAGCAACACAAAGACACACAGCCATGCATACACACTCACACCTAACAAGAACTGCCCAAGTCCAATTAAGAGAAGCCAATTAACCTCATTTTGGACTGTGGGAGGAAGCCGGAGTACCCGGAGAGAACCCATGCATGCTCAGGGAGAACATGCAAACTCCATGCAGAAAGACCGGGCCAGGAATCAAACCCACAACCCTCTTCCTGCAAGGCAACAGTGCTGCACACTGCACCACAGTGCAGCTTATATTATATTTCTAATAGCCACATTTTATTACACTTAGAAATGTCTTTTTGAAGAGCAGGGAGACACGTCACCTATTTATAAACCAACGTTCATGCTGCTGAAGTATTGTCACAGAAATAATGCCCTGTGGTCACAATGCAACAAAGACAGCCTGAACTTTATGCCTCATACACACTCTGCTAGAGTCCTGAAGCAATTATCAGGCGGACCGTGTCCTTTGGTCTACATAGACCCACACAAGCGTGTACACTCTTAAACAGACACACACACAGAAACAAAGTGTATATAAAGGGCTGGGCCCTTGAGTGCTCTCCCTTCACTGGAAAAACAAACCCTAAGGCAGGCTGCTATACTCTTTCACACACTGCTGAAAAAATGCCGGCAGACTACAATGGGAGCTGGGAGATGGTGAAAAATGAGAACTTCGAGGATGTCATGAAGGCTCTTGGTAAGTTCCATCCTGAGATGAGACATTCAAGATTTACAAAGAAAGAGAAACTATAGCCTAAATAAGTGTGTAACATGAGTGTGACAGGGAGAACAAGAATGCCAGCGAGAGGGAAAAGGATGGGAAGAAAAAAAAGTGATGTGCCTCTGCTTCATTTCCTCATTGAGCTGCTGTCAGGCCAAGTTAACCTCCACTCTCTGAGCAATTGCTGTCTGTTGCCGTGCCAAATAAATATTGATTCAGTCCCTTCTGCGTATTTATCCTTTCTGTTCCGCCGAAATGAAAGACAGATTCCGAATTAGGATGAGGAGACGGGGGCTAACTCCCATCCTTCCGGGGAGTCGCTGATCAGCCCCAGAAAACACTTTCATTATTCACGACGACTCTATCAGAAATTCATACAAAAAACAAGCTCCAGTGCAGCGGGCTGGGAAGAGAAATCCGGGGTAATCCTCAGCTCCTCAGAGGCATTTCCATGGAGCGACCGGGAGAATTAGATCCTTATGGAAATGGGTCAAAAACTATCAGTCCAATGGGTAAATATTAAGGCTCCATCAGTAAGAGTGATGGGAAGAAATGGAATTTCCAATTCAGGGGAAATAGGATATGAATATCTAAATGATCAGGATGGGCGGTTCACTTTGGCAAGTCTGATGCTAAAAGGGTCAAAGAAAGCCGTTCAGATCTATTCCAACTGGGGAGGAGGTTGTTTCAGAGGACTCATTGTTATTGTGAATGCGGTCAGGGTCTTTGTTTCCTGACCACATCTGTGAAACCTCTCTCCATGCATGCAGACATTGACTTCGCCACCAGGAAGATCGCTGTCCACCTGCACCAGACTAAAGTGATCGTGCAGAACGGGGACAAATTTGAAACCAAGACCCTGAGTACCTTCAGAAACTACGAGGTCAACTTCACCGTGGGGGAGGAGTTCGAGGAGTACACAAAGGGCCTGGACAACAGGACTGTAAAGGTGCGGCGTCTGAGGGCTCAATGCAGGGGGGGTTTCTAATCTCATGCTTTGCTTTAATGACTGTGTTGTGGAATGTTAGAGCCTGGTTACCTGGGATGGAGACAAGCTGGTCTGTGTCCAGAAGGGGGAGAAAGAAAACCGTGGCTGGAAGCAGTGGATTGAAGGAGACCTGCTGCACCTGGTGAGAAAAAACAGCAACAGGCTGGACTCTGATGTCACTTTATTAAAGAACAAACATGAAATTTCAACTTCACTCACTTGAACTATCTTTTCCCCTTTGCATCACATTGAGTTGCCTCATATCTCGAGGCAATAACAATAAAATTATTTGAAACATGCAGATGTAAGCTCTGCTAGCTTGTGTAACTAATAGAGAGCCTTATTGCATCACGTCCCCCCTCTAAGTCTGAAGGTCTGCATCTTGTCTTGCAGGAAATCACGGCCCTCGACAAAGTCTGCCACCAAGTGTTCAAGAAAAAAGTGTAAAATGTGGAGAGAGATTATGTGTGACTACCATGTTTGTGTAGTAAAACAAGTAAAACATTTTAATACAAACATATACGTGCTTCCAAGTTTTTTATCAAACTCTTCAACTTTTAAAGTTTAAATACAGCAAGATTTCTTTGGCATTAAGTAATTTGGAATAAACCACTTTCTGATAATGGCCCTGTAAGCTTCTGATTGAGACCAAAGACACACCAAAGGATGGAAAACTACAGACTGCTACATGTGACGGATTTAAAACAACATATGAAGAAAAGAGCCGAGAAAAGAGATTTTGTGGAACTCTGCAAGCCTGGTTCTTCCTCTGTATAGTAACTAGCAGTGGTGTAAAAAGTACACACATTTGTTACTTAAGTAGAAGTATAGATACTGCAGTTTAAAAACACTCTGGTAAAAGTTGAAGTATCAACTTGACCTCTTTACTCAAGTAAAAGTGAAAAAGTATGTGCTCCAAAAACTACTTAAAGTATAAAAGTATAAAGTATCCTTTAAGAAAAAGGCCAGATTCCACTATATGAATTGAAAGCACAATTTTTCCACTATTTCAAGAAATTCTTTGAGATAGGGCCAAGGATGAGGGAGGTCTTGTTGGTCTCCGCCTCCATCTCCCGATACGCTCTCGCCTGTGTCCGACCTTTCAGACATTTAGACATCTTTTTCTGAATCCCACATTGTAGCATGGCATAGACAATTCACATTAGCAGTTTGAAGAACACCTGCTTGCTTCTGATGATTTCCTTTAGCTAACCAATGAGTGTTTGCGTTCTATGACTCATCCAATCACACTAGTTTTCACTAGATGTGGATGGCACCAATGATCTGCATTGGATGGCGCACATGACATGAAATACATATTTAGAAACATTAAACCAGGGGTAACTAATAAAAAATCAGTGGGGTCCGAATAAAGAAAATCAACCAGTAAATGTCAGGAGACATTTTTAATGATCTGTTACTTTAAACAGAATTTAACACTGAAATAAAATGACGTATTTATGCATTCATGTTACACTGAATAAAAAAAAAAGATGAAAAAATAAAAATAGAAATTGCCAAATATTGCATCCCATGCTATCTGAGAGGAGTTTACACTTGTATGACTGTATTCCTGTATATCCATCACTAGTTAAAAGACAAGATTCAGCAAATGCAAATTCTGCCCTGACAGCGCAATTGTCGCTGTACGATCCGAAGCCTCATTTGGAGCTTTTAAACAGGCTTTTGAAAAACTTTGATACTTTTTAGAATAAAAAGCTAGCAGATGTGAATAATCAAAAAATAACAGAAACACAATTATAGAGCATTCAGTATTACAAGAAAGCCCACACTGTTTCTGAATAAATACATTATTGTATGAGTTCTGTTCCGTTTATGTCTCTTTTCTTGTAAGTCTAAAATGTCCCATGCTCCTGAATGCACCATAGCTGTCTGACGCTCGCGAATGCATCACACTGGTCTGTGTAGATGCGCGTTTGATTTTCAGTAAAAATGTAAGGAATAGAAAGTAAAGATACTTGTGTGAAAATGTAATGAGTAGAAGTCAAAAGTAGGAGAAAAAATAAGTTATGGAGTAAAGTATAGATACCTAAAAAGTGTACTTAAGTACAGTAACGAAGTATTTGTACTTCGTTACTTGACACCTGTGGTAACTAGATACCTGAAGCGTAAGTTAAGCTAGTTCCTGAGTTTAAACTGTTATCTACTGATATAAACAGCATGGGAGTGTCTGGATAGTCCGCTGTTTAGACCTTGTGAAGAAGGCAAGTAAAGCTTGATGGACCCTGTCGGTCTTTACTCTGTGAATTTGCACTCAGATACAATGATTTTTATGTTCGGATACAGGTTTTGTGACCTGATGAGACTTAAAGTATTTCATAAGCAGGGATGGAAAGTAATTAATTACATTTACTCAAGTTACTGTAATTGAATACTTTTTATGAGTAATTTGCGGAGTAGTTTTTGAAATATGTGATTTTTACTTTTACTCGAGTAAATCTTAACCTAAGTAGTTTTACTTTGCTACATTTAAAACCCCCTCACGTTACTGAGTTAAGAAAAAAATAATAAATTACTGATGGTGAAAAAATTAAATGTGCCCCTGCCTTGCATTTTATGGAGGATAAAAAGTGCCAAAATTAAATAAATAAATACAGAATTAAATAAATAATTAAATGTGTCAATAATTAATTAAATGTGGAATTAAATAAATAAATGTGTCATTCATTAATTAAAACCACGTCACTAATATAAAGTGCCACAATTAAATAAATAAATACAGCATTAAATACATAATTAAATGTGTCAATAATTAATTAAATGTGGAATTAAATAAATAAATGTGTCATTCATTAATTAAAACCACGTCACTAATATAAAGTGCCACAATTAAATAAATAAATACAGCGATAAACAATTAATTATATGTGCAATTCATTAAATAAATAAGGAATTGAATATAGAAATGTGTCATTAATTTAATAAAATACGTCTTCATTTTATTAAAAAAATATAATTATTTCAGTGTGCATTTAATTATTTCATGGTCCTGTGTCGCAGTGCATCGAAACCATTAAAAGAATCTGTCAAACTCACCCATCAAAGTTAGGGGGCGGGATTAACGCGAATCGAGTCTCTGTAATCGATTTGCTTCGCCTTAATGTGCAGGGTGACCAATCAGGTGTTAGATAACCGCCCCCTAACTTTGATGGGTCAGTTTGACAGATTCTTTTAATGGTTTCGATGCACTGCGACACAGGACCATGAAATAATTAAATGCACACAGAAATAATTATCTATATATTTTTTTATAAAATGAAGACGTATTTTATTAAATTAATGACACATTTATATATTTAATTCCTTATTTATTTAATGAGTTACAGATTTAATTAATTGTTTATCGCTGTATTTATTTATTTAATTGTGGCACTTTATATTAGTGACGTGGTTTTAATTAATGAATGACACATTTATTTATTTAATTCCACATTTAATTAATTATTAACACATTTAATTATTTATTTAATGCTGTATTTATTTATTTAATTTTGGCACTTTTTATCCTTCATAGAATTTACCCTTTGTATTGTCTCATAATCCAGTGCTGCGCTTCGGAAGATGGCAGTTGCTAATCACAACTTAGGGAGTATGGATGAGGAAAGGCCTGAAGAGGAAACATATTCTGGAGACGAAAGCCAGAAAAACCCTTGGCCATATTTGGAAGGATTATTTGTTTTCAAATGCACAAAAGGGAACAATGTGATAATGCAGTGCAACATGCACTGCATTATCAAAACGGAGCTTTCGGCTTTTAAAACATCAACATCCAATTTACGTAAAAATGTGGCGGTAAGTTAGTTATCATGGTGTCTGTTGGACATTAGGATTGAAAATTGCTTGCACTTTATGGTTCAGGTTGTGACTGACCTTGTGCTGTGAGGAAGTATGTTCTTTAGCCCAGCTGATCTTTTGCAAGTGTGGATTTCCACTGAAATACGCCTTGAAATCGATTAAAACACCTTGTGCTCAATTCGATTCATGACTCATCCTTTTTTTTTGCATTAAATAACTCAAAGTAACTAAGTAACTTTTACTCAAATTACATTTTAAATGAAGTAATTTTTTACTTTTACTTGAGTACATTTTAAGATTTGTAATTTTACTTTTACTCTGAATAGAATTTAGGCAAAGTAAAGATACTTTTACTCAGTTACAATTTTTTAGTACTCTTTCCACCTCTGTTCATAACATCAGGAAAAGACCAAGCCCACTGTGAGGTACAGCAGTGGTGGGATTATGCTGTGTTGGTGTTTTGCTTTTGTTTTTGCAACAACAGTGGAACAAAATTCACTTCATATATGTCAGCCTCACTTGCTGCTGACTTGCTGATTTATCAGTAGTGAAAAATTTTTTACCATCCATGTAAATACAGATCCCTCCAAATATTTATAGCCCCAAATAGACATACCCTTAAAAATAAGCATGGAAATTAAATTTAAATGTATATTTCTCTTGTTTCATATATTTAGTTATGCTATTTAACCAGTGAAAAATGTTTTTACTGGGTCTGTTTCACCTGCATGCCACAAATTGTGGCATGCAGGTGAAACAAAGTGAGAAGTGTTTTGCATACAAGGAAAACTTATTCCATAACAAGGCTGCTGTCTCACGCATTGTTATTGTTTAACCAAAGTGTGTGTAATTTGTTTTGACTCCTTCACAGCTTTTTCCTCATTATAAATAAGGGAGAAAAACTCTGTCTAGATCAGAACAGGGCAGATTACCGTGCCACAAGGGCCGTATGATGAACTGTTCTCTCTTTGCAAAGATATGAAAATAAAATGCCGACTGAGTGAAATCCCTTGATCTCCTTTTATTTTATTGGGGGATGAATAGTTGAGTACTTTTTTCCCACTACACAAGTTATTTTTTTATTTATTTTTTTTTACAGTGTCCTGTCTGGCAATGTGGCAATAAGAATAATTGTCTTGATGCCAAAAAGAGCCCAACAGATTCTACTTTCACAAGTGTAGCAGTATGGCAATTGCCATATTGTTCCACTCTTTTCATGCATATAAATTGCTTTATTATAATTATGCAGTGAGTTTTACAGTTTATATGGACACTGTAATGTAAATAGAGCAGAAAAACAGAAGAAGAAAAAGGAAAAAATGAGAAAAAATGAAAGAAAGAAGAAATAGAAAGGAGACAATGATAAAACATTTTCATTCTGCTTCATCACCTGCAACGAGATGTAAAAAGAACAGCACAACCGAAAGACACGGTACGAGATATACAATGAAGCAACACCTTGAAACTATTGCTGAAGTAGTATTATTAAGTCTGTGTTACCTGAAGATATGAATGTGGGGTTTCTGTATGGAAGTGAATCTCTGAGTACCTGGAGCCAAGCACTACACAAGTTACTAAAAAACACACGTATTCTGGTCAACTATAATAAAACAAAAATAAAAACTAAGTTCAATCAATT